ATCTTTTAATTAAAAATGATCTCTAGGCCGGGCGCGGTGGCTCACGAGGTCAAGAGATCACGACCATCCTGGTCAACATGGTGAAACCCCGTCTCTACTAAAAATACAAAAAATTTGTTGGGCATGGTGGCGCGTGCCTGTAATCCCAGCTACTCAGGAGGCTGAGGCAGGAGAATTGCCTGAATCCAGGAGGCGGAGGTTGCAGTGAGCAGAGATCCCACCATTGCCCTCCAGCCTGGGTAACAAGAGCGAAACTCCATCTCAAAAATAATAATAATAATAATAAAATAAAATAAAAACGAAATGATCTCTAGACCAGAACCTAAGAATAAAACAAAATTTCTTATAAGCATATAATTAAAATATATTACATGATGATCTTAGAATTAAATCAACTGACTTTTTTTTTAATGCTCACTATGAGATAAAGAATTTCTCCTCATTATATAACCTCCCACCTTTCCTCATGTCTAAATTTTTTTTGGTTTTGTTATGTATATTTTCATTTTACAATTTTTAACTTTTGCTCTACACTTTGAAATAGTAAGAACATTATCCTTTTAAAATTTTTGGTTGACATTGAATATATGATAATGTTGAATATCAGTCCCTCCAGATATTGCAGTTAGACTAACGTGAGGAAAGAAAATAATCCCTGTGTCCCTAAAACTTTGCCAAAGTATGTTTTTCTAAACATCCAGGACAATCACTTTTCAAAAACATATTTTCACTTATTTTTCTTCATCCTGAAACCATGCTGCCAGAAATTTTTCTACCTTATATCATTTTTCTCATATTTCTACTTCCTTTTTTCCTTTTCCTTTTCCAGGAGAATCTTTCGGAATATTTATTTATTTATTTTTGTTTTCTTTTTTGAGACGCAGTCTTGTTCAGTAGCCAGGCTGGAGAGCAAAGGTGAGATCTCAGGTCACTGCAATGTCTACCTCCCAGGTTCAAGTGATTCTCCTGCCTCAGCCTCCCAAGTAACTGGGACTACAGGCACCCGCCACCACACCTGGCTAATTTTTGTATTTTTAGTAGAGATGGGATTTCACCATGTTGGGCAGGATGGTCTTAATCTCTTGCCCTCATGATCCACCCACCTCGCCCCAAAGTGTTTGCTGGATTATAGGCTTGAGCCACTGTGCCTGGCCAGAACATTTAGTTTTATATAACATAATGGTAATGAGCAATTTCATTACATTATGCTTGCAAATGTCTTTATTTTGGTTTACAATGCAATATATTAACTTAGAATTTTATGTTCAAAATCGTTTGCTTGCATAGTTTTCAAAACTTTCAAGACATCGCTACACAGGTTTGAAGAATCTTGTGTTATCAGAACTGTCTTAGGTCAGTTTGATTTTTAACCCTTGTGGGTAGGATATTTTTGCATATACAGTATTTCTTTTATCTTGTTTCAGTAATTTGTGAACAGTAAAACCTTTGAAGACTATGTTCAGGAATATTTTCCAGGGATTTTGTGTTTTCTGTCTTGTTTGTAGTGCCTCATTCTTGACTCTGAAACTCTCACAGGCAATTGTTAAACAACTGGGAGTAAACCTCATTAACCCTTTTCTCATGTCTGCCTTCTTTTTTCATTGGTTGTTTATACTAGGATATGTTTTCAGCTTATTGTTCACATCAATAGCTGGCCCTTGGAATTCATCTCTGCTGTTGTTCTAGGTATCTATTGATAATATTGTTGATTTCCAGAAACTCTTCGTTTCTCTTATTTCCTTTCCTTCATCCTTCATTCTTCCATCTCCTCCTCACTTCTTCCCTCCCTTTCTCCTGTCCTCTCTTCTACCGTTTCCTTCCTCTCCTCTTTCTACTCTTCCTTCTTTCTTTCCTTAGAAATATGTAGTAGACTATTTTGGTTTTCTTGAAATGATTATCTACTAAATTTTCCCGACTATGTCAACAGAAGTTTTTTCAATGTGGATGCAAATATTAATGTCAAATATTATTTTGGTACTTTATTCTGTTACTGGAAAATGTTTAATTATGTTTGGAAAATCTTGGGGATTTGAAACTACTTTCTCAATTTGTTTTATTATATGTAAATAAATCAAGTATTTCTAATAAAAATTTAGCATCTCAAATTAAGATAGGCTATAAATGTAAAACCATGGTGGACTTGGAAGAACAGTAAAAGAAAAATATATCATTAATAGTTTGATATTGGTTTTATTTTGAAATGATAATATTTTAAATATATTGAAAAAAGAAACATATTACTATAATTATATTCACCTGCTTCTTTGTGCTTTTTATGTGGCTACTAGAAAATTAAAATTGCATGCATGTTTCTTCTTATATTTTTACCAGACAGCACTATATATACCACATGGCTGGTATATATACATTAGTATCAATAAATCCAATCAATCTGAAACCATGTTTTCTCTTTTTTGGTTAGGGTTCTCAGAAATTACTTTTATCCACAATTTTAATTTATTTGCCATATATGTATTAATATTATAATCTTGTGTTTTTTTATGGTGTGTAAATGTTCTGGTCCTTTGGAACTCAGCATACTGAAGCTGACCTTAGTCTTGGATGGCCCTGTTCGCACTGACAGGCAGTGGAGGTGGACGTGAGGTAATGCCCCTTTAGGGTCTAGAAGCAAGGCATGATTTTGTAGGTAAATGAGGCTTCCTGGAAGTGGGAGCTTGAGAGTCATTTAAAGCAAATAAATCATCTTAAATATCATCACTTTCAGTATCAGTCTCCAAGACTTTCCCAATGAATACTCTAATTAATATATAAGATACTAGAAGATTTTGTGAATTTAATGTATGCTACAATTTCTCAACCCACAGCATCTGTCTCTAAATTTTCTAGGGTGGTCATAGAAATGTTTTTCTTTCTACCATGGCTTTTTTTTTTTTTTTTTTTTTTAGGACTTAAAGCCTCTCATGTTATTGCCACTTTAAACTCGCCAGTGCATAAAACAACCATTCATCCATATGGTCTTATACTCCTCATTTCCACAGTGTGATGGTATGGCAGCATTCATTTGGCCTGCCAAAGAGGGACTGTGAATGATAATTTAAGCAAATCATTTGCAATCTGCATGTAGAGGTTCCTGGTACTCTATTTGAAAATAATTCAATCACTGCCATGGAGACCAACCAGGAATCAATTTCAGATTCCTGTCACCAGAGTGCTGCTGTAAGTTGCTTACTGTATTATGTGAGTTTCGGTGACAGAATCTACTCTAGGTAGTTTAATAAGAAAGAAATTTAAGAGAAGAAATTAAGTTTAAAAGTGTTGGGTGATATAGTATCATTCCCAGGAATGACTGCCAGAGCAATGCCTCAGAACTGCATACCCATGGGAGCGATAGACACAACCACTTCTGAAAATGTAAGAATCAAGGAGCTATCATCACAACTTCAATTTTCTAGATTACATTGTCACTGTTGTGATCTTAGTTACAAAATAAATATCTGCCAAATGTTTTGTGAACCATCTGCAGTATTTGTTCATACTAGTTTCCAAGAACAGGAAACTCAGAACCAGAGAGGTGAATTTGTGAGCAGATGCCATAGAAATTCAGGAAAAAAGATACTAATATAAAGAACATCATTATAGATAAAGAGAGACATTAAATAATTGCGAAATCATTTATACGGAAAGATATTCTAATTCTAAATTTTTGTGCATTTAGCAACATATGATTAAAATAGCACAAAAAAGATATAAACACATAGACAAATAGACAAATGTACCATCAGAATGAATGATTTAATAACTCTGTCACAGTAATTGATAAATCAAGCAGACAAAAAAATCTATAAGGGTATAGACAATTTGAATAACATAATTAACCAGCTTGATTTACATATATAAATACATATATTCTGAAAAGTATAAAGTATAATGTAAATAGCAATAAATATACATTTTTCTGAAAAGTGAAAAATAATATGAATAATTTTTGTTCAAGCACATATGGATATTAAGCTTTAAGCATGCTTGCCTTTTACTCCAGAGGGATACATTAAGTCTATCTTCCGAGGCTGTTTACTATGCAAAAATCCTTTAAAAGATAATCCTGGACAAAGGGTAGTCACTGCCTTGCTTGCATGACATAAAGATCCATGAAGAATTGTCTCCCAATAATGGAGTGACTGAAAGTTTTGAGATTACTCACTAAGTATCTTAAAGATATATCATCAAATGTGTCTTATGTTGCCCTTGCAATCTTAAAACACTTGCCACATGTAGTTTTACAATTTTGTTGTGGTAAGTACACAGGTGCACTAATTTCTCTTTCACCTTTGAGGGTTTAGTGGACAGTATCATTGGTTTAGCATTCTCCTTTTACCTTTGCTCTTGCTATTGTTTATAGTGGGAGTAGTATAATTCCCTGCCTCATTGACATTGGGCTTGGACATAAGCTTTCTTTGGCCAATGGAAGATGAGTTAGCTTTACATGTGCTCCTGTGACCTTGCCTGCTTTACACTCTAGGTGCCTTGCTCTGTGCTGTGAAAACTAAAAATAGCCTAGACAGTGGTTTCCTCTTCAGCTTAGACCTTGACCTTGTTTTAGTCCATTAAATATGGTCATAACAGACTACCTCAAACTGGATAATATATTTTAAAAGTTTACTTGGCTTATAATTCTGGTGGCTGGAAAGTTCAAGACCTCACAACTGCATCTGGTGAGGTTCTCTGGTTGTTCCAGTTCATGGCAAAAGGCAGAAAAGGATCTCTTTGCCTCTGCAAAGAGATCACATGGACAGAAGAGAAGGTGGGGAAGTGTCAAACACTTTTTAATAACCAGCTCCACCAGAAAAGAATAGTATGAAACTTCCCTCACCCCAGGGAGGGCATATTGATGAGTGATCTGCCCACATGACCCAAACAGCTCTCACCAAGCCCCGACCTCCTAACATGAACATATTGGGGATCAATATTCCACATGAGGTTCAGAGAGAACAAACATCCAAACCACAGCAGTCCTGAAATGAAGCATAAGTAGAACTGACCTGAGCCCATTCTGCAGGCTGAAACACAGGTGCTGTAGCCACTACACAGATCTATGTACAAAAATAAATGGTTGTGTTGTAAGACACTGAGATTTTGGAAACTACTAGGCAGAATTATTGAAACAGAAATAGACTAATTTGGAGGGGATGTTTTGTTATTTCCCAGACCACTGGACACCCAGAACATTTACTTAAGTTCAGATGTCTGGGTTTTCATGGGAATTAGCTCATATATTTTTCCAAATAAAGAACCTTTCAGAAACTTTTGTCTAAATATGGGTGTGGTTTTTACTGCTCAAATCTAATTACTTCATTGGGTATGTTGTGTGACAATTTTCTTCACCTCAACCCTCACACACATATTATGTGAAAATTGAAGCCTCTGTGTCTGAGGTGTGGCTCACTAAGCAGAGCAATTAAATTCCAACCTCAAGACCTCCTACTTAATTGGGGAATTCACTAACAGTATCCATTAAAGTGAGGCTTTCTTACTGCTAATCCAGTTCCTGTGTGATTGCTTCAAGCTCTATAGTGGAAATCTTCTAATCCTCCAATTTATAGAAGAAATTATTTGTTTCAAAGTAATTTCATATGGGTCTTTCTTTTTAAAAACTGTTAATCATAGCAACATTATAGAGTAATAATTATTACTCTTATTTTATATATAGATGATTAATGTAATTAATACTATTTTATTAATAAATATTTTCATTTTACATATAAAGAATAATGAAAAACTCTATTATACCAGTGTGAGTATGGGAAATATTCTTTGGCAAATGAGAGAATAATTTAAAAAACATGCTATCAGTAGATAAAACTCTAACTTGCAAATGAAGATTAAAGAAATGTCTGAATGAAACTGATTTGACTATTTGTGATTATACAAGGCTTCAATTTTATGAAATATTATAAAACATCTTTTGTAAATAGGCTGGAGTCTATATATCTACATATTTACATCTATATCTTTATGAAATGCTCTAGAATTTTCAAAAATATTTAACATATATCCATTATCTATGTCCTAAAGAGTTAAGATAAATTAAGCAAAAGAAACTTGTAAATAACTAATGTCAGTAAAGACCCACCTGCTATTATTTAATCATACCCATATTCTGCAGCAAAACAGCCATGTCAGGGTCATTACTGAGAAGAATGTCAAATTGGCCAATTTAATGTTACTTAGGGCTTACTTTATCTATATAACTGTCTCAGATAAGAATTGTAAGCTAATAATAATTACATTAGTGTCAGAAGTGTAAGGGACACTTATGGTTTATTTAGTAGAGAAAGATTGTTTTAATGTTTAAATTGAATTTTACTCTCTACTTTAAGATAGTTAAAATGGCATATGTAAAATATTCAGCCACCCATTAATGGTTGATAGTTGAAAAATACAATATGGCTTGAAATAGTTTGTCTGCTGCTACCTCAGTCTAAGTGGCTTGTCAAAAGGCAAGTGGTAACTTAACCTAGTTATTCACAGATAAGTAAAGTTACTATATTTTATGAAATACAATTTTAAAACATCTTATTACTATTACTATTATTTGAAATGGAGTTTCTTCACCCAGGCTGGAGTGCAGTGGTGAGATCTTGGCTTCCTGCAACCTCCACCTCCTGGGTTCAAGTAATTCTGCCTCAGCCTCCCAAGTAGTTGGGACTATAGGTGTGCACCACCAAGCCAGTCTAATTTTTATATTTTAGTAGTGATGGGGCTTCACCATGTTGGCCAAGCTGGTCTGGGATTCCTGACCTCAAGTAATCTGCCAGCCTCAGCCTCCCAAAGTGCTGGGATTATAGGCATGAGCCACTGAGCCCAGCCAATTTTTAAAAAATATCTTATTATTAAAAATTACCAACCATCTGTACTTCACTAGCACCCTGTAGATTTAAACATTTTATTCCTTTTGGTATAATGTTGCATTTTCCAAATTCATATATCTAATAGGAAAAATAATATTTTACAAAGGAAATTTGTAAATAATAACTTTGAAGTAATGTGGTCTACATATGATCGTGGTTCTCACTCACAGAAACAACACATACATTCCAGCTTTCACACACACACACACACACACACACACACACACACACGTTTCATATTTGATACCAAGCCATCAGAAGCAATTATGAAACAGCAAAAAAAGAATACAGAAAGCTAGTACAATCTGAAAAGCTATTTTGGGAATGGAGCCTATATATAATTTTTAGAAATTCTTAATTTTCAAAGACAGTTAAGATTCCTCAAAATATATGTATCACTAATACAAACTAAGTAACAAGCACCCAAAATATTTGCCACCACCACATTGTGATGGCAAAGTAAAGTTGTTTTTGTTTTAAAAAAATAAGGTTGTTTTTGTTTTAAAACTTACCTATCTTCAAAATGTTCAAAGTGATTTTGTTACCACATCTTCATTTATAATAAAAATGTTGAATGTGGAGAATACAACAAAATTTAGGTTGATAATATGCAAACACAAACAATTAGAGGAACATACGATTGATTCACCATTAGCACAAATCTATTCTAAATAGCATGGTAGAGGGTAGTGGTATCTGAGCACTTTTGAAGGATGTTGCTCTTTTCTATTTGAAACAAAAAAACTAGGAGTTGATGGCAAAGAGAGACTTTCCTTCCAGTGCTACACCAACCAATATGGTAGTGGTTAGAAAGATGAAATACAAAGATGTCTGAAGGGGTCCATTATAGTTTTTTCCCCTCATGTGAAGCTCAGCTTGTCAAATCTGTCAGAATAACTGGTCAAAATGTCCATAGAGTGCTTGGCCAGGAACCACCAGTTAACATAGCAACATATTTATGTAGTGCTTTATAGTTTACAAGGCATTTTGCCACACATTAGCCCCTTTGTTTCTCACAATCACCCAGAGAGACTGACTCGTTGAATATTGTATTTTTCAAGTTCAAAGCTAAAAGCTGAATGAGTTTAAGCAATTCACATATGAACACAGAGTATGGTAGCATATTCACTACCTAGGGTAAAGTTTTATGATTCTAATCACAGACTTATTTCTATTGCAACTGCTCTGTGAGGAGGTTCAAATCATATGTTTCATCAAGACATAAGATATATCATAATTTTGTTAAATATCAAATATGAGAAAATTTTTCTAGATGACTTCAAACTGGCCATGAACTTACTTTGCTCTAATATTAATTAACATCATAAAATAACTGCAAGGTGTATGAAAACAAAATGTGTGTACAATGGGCTTCCTACTTGAATGATAGCTGTGTTAATGGTGTGATAATTCCTTTACTTGGGGTGAGATAACTTGCAACATATTTTACAGATAAACAAAACTAAATGTAAAGATATAGGTGCTTCTCTGTGAGTGTGTGTATGTGTGAACATTTCTCTCTTCAACCTATAGGGTGTTTTCTATGCCAAGTTTCAAGCTAGACTCTGGAAATGCAACAAAAGAGTGAATTTTATTAGCAGTGAGTTTTATTAGTAGTAGCAAGTGCTACTCCTACCCTCAAGCTCAGTCTCACAAGGGAGACTGATATTAACCAAATAATCATGCTTTTTATTTATTCTTTAATTCACCTAATATTATGTGGCATTAAGCAATGGAAAATTACTCCAAGTGCTACAGATTCAACTGTTTAAATATAAATGCATTACTCACAGATATGAAGTAATAGAGTTTGTGTCTTTATACATTCTGCAATGGGAACACACAACCAGATCAGCCTGAAAGCAGAGGCTCATGAACAGTTCACCACAACACAGCCCTTTTTCACTTACCTGGAAAGTGCCAATTCAAGTTAGACATTTATTTGAAGCATTCTTTTGGCTCAAAAATACATGTAAGTTTGTATTATTAAAAGATATGTAAATATGTATTATACCATATAATAGTATGTTTATATATTATTGCAATATAAAGCGATACAGATTTATCCTCTAAAGTTTTGCATAAAAGTGATTCTTGGAGTATATACTTCACTGAGACATATTTGGGGAGTGAGAAGCAATTATTTCCTTTGAAATAATGTTTTAAAATATATTTTTTGAACTATACGAATTAAGACTGAGAGACATAGAATAAGAAAATGTTCTAAAAACCTACAAATGCAAAGATGGAATAATGTACTCAGAAGGATATATTGCATTCTTTTTTCATGGTATTAGAACAATTAATACTATCTTGCAGAAAACCAATGAAATAATATATGTAACAGCAGTTCTCAGAACCTAGGACAGATAGTAAAAAATCAATAAATATTAAAATATGTTCTTGGCTGCTTTTTGCAATACTTCAGTTTGGAAGTGATTATACGCTCAGTAAAGAGAGAGAGATTGGGGACATAACGTCTCTGGGATCTATCCTATCTCTTCTTCCTTAATATCTGTGCCCTAATTCAATATAGGAACAAGAAAAAGATAACCCCATTGTTAGGAATCAGAGTGACTGTACAAAAGCTAATGAATTGAATAGAATTAAGGAAGCCAGTGAGCTGGGTCTAGTTTGCTGGTATAGGTGAAAAAATACATGTCATCTTAGTTAACTCTTAATGAGAAACTTGTTTTGTTTTTTAAATGACAAAGTAAAATGCTGAAGTTCCTGCTATTATTTTTGAAATATTTGGAAAAATATTTTCATCATTTCTCCCCAAGGTGCAGTATGATAGTTGTGATGAATGCTTGATTGTAATATTGACCATCTTTTATTTCACAGGCAATTTTACGTAACCAGAGAAAGCTGTAGCATTTTAAAATGGGAAGTATGATGTGGCAGATATTAAGTATTATAAGGATTAATTATAAACATAATCTACAAATCTGTGATTCAAATATGAAATGAAAAAGTCTTTTTTAGTTATTTCCAAAAACAATATTGTAATGATTTACTTGGTGGGAATATTAAGGGGGACTTTCAAAGTTAGTGCAGCAGTCATGTGCAACTATGACTCCTATGCATCACCTAGCCCAATGTCATAGAAAGCTGGATTGTATTTTTCTATTATTTTAATATTATTTACAGTTTATTTTGCCAGGCACATCTGGATATGGCAT